TTTTCCAAAACAGCCTGTCATGTGTTTGGTCTGCCAAAATTGTATAGGTGGTCATATCCCTTACAACCGCAGGGTTTTCCCTCCTCAATTATATTTTGTCCTATGAGTTTCAATAAAAAAAATCTCAGTACATACAAATATGTATGATGCAACACATATGATTCAGCCTTTATGTTGTAAGGATAAAGTTGGGACAAGGAAAAACAATATATGCCATTTTGAGCTTATTGGGGGAAAGGTAGGAGATAAATGTGTGGGTTTTTTTTAAAGTAATAGAATGAAACAGTGTTGTTGTTTTTCATGATTATTTTTATTCTGCAAACTGCTGATATTATTATATTGCATGTCTTATTTCTCATCATTGTTGGTGTATGACAATAGTTGTTGTTGTTTAGTCGTTTAGTCATGTCCGACTCTTCGTGACCCCATGGATCTGAGCACGCCAGACCCTCCTGTCTTCTACTGCCTCCCGGAGCTGGGTCAAATTCATGTTGGTCGCTTCGATGACACTGTCCAACCATCTCATCCTCTGTCGTCCCCTTCTCCTCTTGCCTTCACCTTTTCCCAACATCAGGGTCTTTTCCAGGGAGTCTTCTCTTCTCATGAGATGGCCAAAGTATTGGAGCCTCAGTTTCAGGATCTGTCCTTCCAGTGAACACTCAGGGTTGATTTCCTTCAAGATGGATAGGTTTGTTCTCCTTGCAGTCCAGGGGACTCTCAAGAGTCTCCTCCAGCACCACAGTTCAAAAGCATCAATTTTTCAGCGGCCAGCCTTCTTTATGGCAATAGACCAAAGGGCAAAGCCTCAACTCCAAAATGCAGTAGCCAGATTGCTAACTCAATAGACAAAGGGCAAAGCCTCAACATTAACAAGTCCAAAATGCAGTAGCCAGATTGCTAACTCAGGCAGGTCACAAGCATCACACAACCCCCCTGTTACCGCAGCTCCATTGGGTGCCAATCCATTCCTGGGCAGAATTTAAAGCATTGGATCTAACCTATAAAGCCCTAAACAGCTTGGGACCAAGCTATCTCGAGGACTGCATCTCCATTTAGGAGTCTGTCTATATGTTAAAATCGTCAGGATAGGCTTTTCTCTCATTCCCACTACCTTCACAGATGCGTTTAGTGGGGACACAGGAGAGGGCCTTCTCTGTTGCTGCTCCCAGACTTTGGAACTCCCTCCCACAGAAGGCTGAGATGGTCCCATCTTTGCTATCCTTCCTCAAGCAGGTGAAGATGTTTCTCTTCAGGCAAGCTTTGCTTCAGTGATTGAATGCCTGAATTGAGGTTTTAAATGGATTGTTGTACCTTACTACTTTGAATGTGTTTTGATGTTGCTTTTGTTTTTAATATGATATTTGTTTGATCTTTTTTACTATTTGGGAGTTTGATTCCTCACTGTCCCTTCTTAACAGGGGCTGGATGTGATGATCCATAGGGTCCCTCCCATCTCTGCAGTTCTGAGATTGTTATTATTATTAATAATAATATAGCTTTAACCATAGAATCATAGTGTTGTAAGCAGCTTATAAGGCCATCAAATCCAACCCCCTGCTCAATGCAGGAATCCAAATCTGACAGATGGTTGTCCAATTTTCTCATGAATGCCTTAATAGACAATAATACTAAAAGACGGTAATATTAATGATATAAGCTGCCTTGGGTCCATTTTATGGAGAAAGGCTGCATAATTTTTTTAAATAAATAAAAATAAAAATAAAGGAGTCATCTGAACATACAGGGGAGATGACATATTTGCAAAATTACTGATGTTTTAATTTCAGAGAGCAAATTAGCAGTTATTGGCAATTGTTTTAAATTGGTGGCTACAGATTTTGGAATAATAGAACCACCTTTGCCAGAGCTTTTTAAGCCAAATCAGAATAATGACCTGTCTCAGATGGCTTAGTAGTGGATTCCCTGCACTGGCAAGAGACTAGACTAGATATATTTTTACAGTTCTTTGAACTCTCTGATTCTATACCACCCTCAATTCAGGCTGAGGAGAGAGATCCACCTTACCTTAACATTCAGTTTGATCATTGGTCCAGGCCAGACATCTCCCTCCTTTGCAGTGGCCAGATAACCAACGTGACTCTAAAAGTAATTCCATTGTTTTGAGAAATGCCAGATACCTGTCTAAATCTTTCAAATCATCCATTCCATTTGGACAACACAAGAAAACGACCAGAACCTTTCCCCAGTAAGAAATCTTATGGGACTGGGATGATCTAATTCATTTTTTTCCTGCTGACCACACAATGAAAAAGCAGATGTGAATCAGCCAGGAGTCCCTTTCCCCAATGTGTTTTTCCCCTTCCACCGCTGGTGCTTCTGCTTTAAAAAAAAAATCAATTTGGCATTGGTTGAGATAGTATTGATTGCTTGAACCAATGCAGAAAAGTGTGGTCTGCATGGATTTCACTCTCCACCAATCCCATCTGAACAGAAAAATGCTGTTTCTTTCTCTTTTTTAAAAGCCTAGCAGCAGTGCTGTTTTGCTAGAGTACCTAAATGCCAAAGAGAGAGAGCGAGAGGAGGAGGAGGAGGAGAAGGAGGAAATGACCTCTCATCCTTTGTTTACAGCTTATTTAGACATTTCCCCTCTAGCCATGGCTCCTGTGAATAAGGAGGGCTACAGGAGAACTATGTTAACAAGCCATAAACAAAGTCATTTACTCAAATTTTCTCACCCCATCCCATCTCTCTCTCTGTGGCCAATTAACTCGAATCTCTCTGGGAAAATCCAAATTCCCAGGTGCAACTTCATAGCAAGTACATCCACATTTTTCTCACTGTGTAGCCACACCCTAATTAAAAAAAACTTCCTTGATGCTAAGTGAGACAGAGAAGAAGAAAAAACATTCATCAATTCAAACAATATAATCAGATCATAGCGAATCACAGAAAGAGCATTACCCAGCCATGAAAGCTGGTACTGCATATTCCTTGGGGATTCCCAGTTTGTATACATGCCAGGTAAACCTCATTAGTCCAGCTAAATATCACTCCAAACAAATACCTAGAAGGAAATATGTGTTGTTTCTGTGTATACACATCCAAGATGGCAATGCTGTTATCTGCAATCTGCATAATTTAAATGTGTAATCCCCCTTGTCCTCTCATTCTCTGATGAGAGGACATTGCATCATTTTACAGCGCATCTGAAGCATCATTTTACAGAGATTTTTTTTATCATGTGCCATCAAGTCAATTCTGACTTATGGCAACTCTTTTCAGGGTTTTCTAGGTAGAGAATATTCAGAAGTGGTTTACCTTTCCTTTCTTCTGGGAGCGTCCTGGGACTGTGCAGTTTGCCCAAGGTCACACAGGCTGGCTCTATGCACAGGAGACATGATGGGGAATCCCACTACCAACCTTTGGCTCTGCACCCAGAGATATAGTGCAAAATAAATAATATCCTCTCCAAAGCATATAAAGATTGCTAGCAATAAACTGATCTAAATTATAGTTGTTTATGGTAGGGTTCCTCCCTTTTGAGACATGGTTGTTTCTGGACAGGGAATATTCCAAACATCAACAATTCCAGCCTGTCAGCCACAGCCAGCATATCTCATAGTAAGGGATCAGGGGAGTTGTGATCCAGCAGCATCTGGATGCTTACCAAAACTGCTTATTCCTGTTTTATGTACAGTGGTGCCTCACTTGACGATGTTGATTCATTCCAGCAAAATCGCTGTAGAGCGAAAACATCGTCAAATGAAATAAAAAACCCCATTGAAACGCATTAAAACCCGGTTAATGCGTTCCAATGAAAACTCACCGTCCAGTGAAAATCCTCCATAGGGGCGGCCATTTTCCATGCCTGTGAAGTGAGGAATCCATCGCTAAGCACAGCGGGGGGGGGAGGCATTTTCTTCAGCCCGTGGCCATTTTGAAACCCGACAATCAGCTGTTTTGATCGTCATAAAGCAAAAATCGGTTCCTGAAGCAGGGAACCGATCAGCGCTAAGCGAAATTCCCCCATTTAGACCATCGTTTTGCAATCACAATTGTGATTGCAAAAACCTCATCGTAAAGCGATTTCCTCGTTAAACGATTTCCTCGTTAAGCGGGACACCACTTATGTGTAAAGTAAGCCTACCTACCTGATGACATCATGGTGCAACAAAGGATGAGAACTTTGTAGCCATGCACGTTCAGTATGTAATAGGTGAAATTCAATGCACTGTATATGAAAAGTGCTGTGAGCTACATTTAGAAATGTTCAGAGAGATAGTAGTGCTACTCTGTTTCAGCAAAAACAGCAACATTGTGGTGCCCTTAAGGCTTCTGTTTCTGCATGAGTTTTCATGGATTGTCTCCCTGTGTCTGAAGACTTGAACTGCAATCCATGAAAGCTCATGGTGCAATAAAAGTACGTATCAGCTCTTAAAGGCTGAAACTTTTTGTTTCTGCTTTTAGCAACCCATTCTTAGGTACTTACTTGGTGGTCTCGCTACTTAGCAATCAGCTGCCATATCTGATCATCAACCTAGCCTGCCTCTGCTGTTTTACCTGTGAAAATGGAAAGTGACCTAATGCTGGGAGCCAGGATGAAAGTTTGTCTTTTTGTTTTGTTTTTGTTTTGTTTTTTTCAGACATTCAGAAAAGGGAAGTTGTGAGGGTGTCAGTGACTCTTGACTTTCGTCTTAAAAGTCACGCAGCTCATCTTTTGGCACACAGTCACAGTTTAAGAAGTATGAGCAGCTCAGATTTGGTGGCTCAAAGGACGTGGCCAGATGAGGATTAGTATTTTTACATAGCTCTTCGAAGGACGGGGCATTTGTTTGGTATGTATTGAGCTCAGATTTCTGCTTAGCGTAAATTGACTGTAAAGGACTTCCTTACTATGCTTCCTTTATTAGTACTTTCTATAGACTGAGAGATCACTTGTAGCTAGTTATACGGGCCAATATGGGGAGATAATCAATTAAATTGCTTTTCCCCTCATGAAAGTTTGATTCCTAAGCTTTCATCTTAAAAGAAGGCTGGTATGACAAGAAAGAACACAGGCTGATACTCTTTATGGAAAGACTGTATGCTGAAAGAGGAAACGTTTGTCTATTTTTCTTTTCTGTTTGCTGTAACTACTAAATTCATTGTAGTACTGTATATGGGAAGACTTTCAACATGGGTGGCCATATACAGCAGCCGCCCATGCTTGACCCAGCTATTTGCCAGTAAGCAGGAACCAACTGAAAGCCTCAAACAAAGGTGATTCTATAGTATACCTCATTGGTTTGTTCCAATTTGATCTTAAAACTTTAACATCCCCCCACCCCACTATTTTAATAGAAGCTTCTCCATTATTTTATTCTCAGGATACAGTAAACAGTTTTTCTTCGCTTTCTTTCTGCATGTTTTGAATCTATTCACAAGTCACCTATCTTTATCTTTTCTTCTTTCAGATTCTTCCTCTTGTAGCTTTTATTTTATCCTTACAGTTTTTATCCTTACAGTTACTTTTTATCCTTACAGTTGGGATTCTTTTCTGGTTTGTTGATAATCTCTGCTGGAGATAGGGTAATTGAAAATAGCTGTCCTCTTACAGGCCTGCAAGTTTCCTTACCACTGTTTTCAGTGTTTGGACCCAAACCTTCTGTTAACACAATTTGTGGCACACACAGCATAATTTCACTGACACTCTTTTTAAATCTGCTCTTGTCACCTAATTGATTGATTGATTGATTGATTGGAAATGCAGCTGTCTAATACATTATCTTCCATTCTTTGCAAATCTGTTGTTGGTTTTTCCTTCCCTGTATGTTAATTCATTTACAGTTTCCTTTGCCAGGTTTTAAATTACAGACGTCATTCTTCTTCATGTGTTTGTTGAGATGATTTTGACTTTCCTCCTTTTTCCAAAACATTGGCTTCTATGGCTGCTTCATTTGTTATATGCATATGTAAAAATGTAATGTGTGTATCACAAGCATATGTGTTAAATACATACAGTATGTGCCAGAATTTGTTTTAGTTTTCTGTGTGTAAACATACTGTAGTGAATATGCATTTGCTGTGATATATATAAACTCATGCTAAGCTTTGTGTTACATGTGGATTTGATATGTGTGTTTTAATTTATCTGTTAAGTATTACCTTTCTATTAGCAATATCTCAATTTATTAATTGAGCAACTTTGGGTCCCTTTACTGAAAGAAAGACTGCATGGAAGTGAAATAAATAAAAACAACAGTCAGCCAGTAAATTATTGCGCTTGAAGCCCACCTGTCTAATAATTGCTTCAACTTTACTGAAAGAAAGACGGCATGGAAGTGAAATAAATAAAAAAAAACAGTCAGCCAGTAAATTATTGTGGTTGAAGCCCACCTGTCTAATAATTGCTTCATGATTATTTATTCATTTATTTATTTTGCTGTTTCAAGTTTAGTGATCAGGTAATCTAAAGAAACAATGTGCATACAGAAGGCAGAACTGATGTTCTCCAGACCTATTCTCAAGGGCTTTCTCTGTTTCATCCTCTTTGTATTCCAGTCTGGTAGCTCAGGTAAGCCCAATAACTTAGTGTATGTATGTTGTAACATAAGAGTATTCCTTGACTTTTCTGGCAATAGGAAGTGGAGTGTGAGAGTATCTAATCCTGCAACCCTCTGTAGTGAACACAGTGTGCCTTCTTTTTTAAACCTAGAGCTTAGAAAAGTTGCTTCACTGACCACAGCACCCAGGAAACATACTTAAGATATAATCCAGAAATGTAACTCTTCCAGACTCCGAAATTAATATGTACAGGACTGGATATGCATCAGATCTAGAGAGAGCGAAAGAGCTGGATAGCTCAGTAGTTTAGATATCTGCCTGTGGAGCCAGTTGTTGGGACTTTGATTCTCCAAGGAAGGCTTGCAACAACAAGCTTCACTTCAGTGTGAATGGGGATTGTCAGAGCATGATATCAGAGGGAAGAGTATTTCTCTTAGAGAATGCTATCATGCTAAACATTGTGCTTCAGATAAGTACAAAGGATTCCTCAAGAACATACCATAACATTAAGAGAGTTTCTTTAAATATCTCAAGGACTTAGTGGGCTTGTAAGAACCAAGATGCTGTATTAGGAAACTATGGCTAGCATGCTGTTCAGTTTTATTTTATTGTTGTAAATTTAAACCACCCATCTACCAGTTGTTTCATGCTGGTGGATGTCAGCCTGATGACATTATACCCACAACAGGATTCTTTTCCTCATGCAAGTTAATATCAAGCTGTTATAATGATATATATACAGCAAGATTGTGACAGAAGTTCTAGATGGTTGAAAGTTTTATATATGAACAAAAGAACTCAGCCTGGGAGCAAATAGGTTTAAGGACTGAAATTCTCAAGACCTCAGCTGTAGATGTTTCTCTGGACTGATATTTTGGTATGTTAAGCCTTATCGTTCTGGTAACCCTAGTGATTCATTGTGCGTTTGGCATAATTACTGACTTTGTAACAGAAATATGAAATCAATCTCAATACCAGATTGTTGGAAAATAGCCAATTTAGTGTTGTTTCCTTGCCCCCCCCCCCCAAGAATTCAGGCAATTTTAGACTAATTAGTTTAACATTTGGTCTAGCTAAATAAGGGGATGTGGTGGTGCTGCGGGCTAAACCGCAGAAGCCTGTGCTGCAGGGTCAGAAGACCAAGCAGTCGTAAGATCGAATCCACGCGATGGAGTGAGCTCCCGTCGCTTGTCCCAGCTCCCGGCAACCTAGCGGTTCGAAAGCATGCAAATGCAAAATTAGTAAAGAATATTATTAAAAGTAAAACTGATACATAAGATAAAACCTTGATTAAAATTTATCAGCATGGTTTTTATAAAGGGAAATCCTGTCTTGTCATCTTGAGTTTTCTGAAAGTGTTAATAAATATGTGGATGAGGTAATCTGGGTGATGTTACATTCTTGAACTTGCAATGCATTTTAGCTAAAATAGTTTCCAAAGGCCCTGAATAGAATTTGCAGACCTAGGATTATGTCATAGGTCATCTTATTTGTTAATGGATAAAATCAGAAGAATGTCAATATGAATGGAAGTGCTAACAATGGGGGAAACTTTTAACTTGCTCATAAGTAATCTGGAGTCAGGAGTGATGAGTGAACCAACTGTGCTTGCAGATGACACCAGATGGTTCATCTGGAGCTCTCATTGTGGAAAGCTCCACAACATTTATCTCCATATAGCTGTGTCCTGCCTGTACTTCTTTGTGATTGCTGAAGCAATAAGGTAGATTGTCTGTAGGTTGTAGTTTATACCACAGGCCAGCAGCTTGTTGATTCAGATGTTTCTTTTTGAAGTAATTAAAAAGAAACTGAGGTGCCAGTGTGGGGTTCTGAACAGAGTAACAGACTAGGACTCAGGAGACATGTTGCCAGTGTGGGGTTCTGAATAGAGTAACAGAGGAGGAGACCTGGGTTGAATTCCTTACTTGGCCATGAAAACTTACTGGGGTATGTGTCAATTCAAGATGGGGGTATTTGTATATGAATATCCCTTCCTTACTTGGCCATGAAAACCTACTGGGGTATGTGACAATTCGAGATGGGGGTATTTGTATATGAATATCCCCACAGGGCTGGACTGAACAAGTCAGGACCATCCACTCATGTGTCTGCCAGCAGCTTTGCTTATGCTTCAATCACTCCTGGAGCACCACTATCTTCCCACTCAACTAGCCACTCCAGGCAGAGGGAGGGAGGGGGAGTCTCCCTGCACAGCTGCCGAGTGGCCAGCTGAGTAGGAAGAGCTCCGGGAATGATTGGAAGGATGAGCATAGGAAGAGCTCCGGGAATGACTGGAAGGATGAGCGAGGCTGCCACCACCACTGGATACGCGAGTGGACAGTCCAGCCCCAGGGGCCAGACCTTCATTAAGTCCAGCTATGCTGGGATATGTGTATTCATATTCAATATGAATACCCCCATCTCTAGTGACAATTATAATCACTGCTTAAAGATATCACACACATTGACCTTGTTAAAGTCAAAATACATCAGATGCAACTTGATGGCATGAAACAACAACAAAAGATTACTTTATGGTTACTTTTGTAAAACAGCAATCTGTTGCTTGTTGAAGTTTAAACTATAAAACTTGGGTTTCAGATGTCCAAGTTATACACCTACAAAGTGCATTCCCACGCACCCCCAGGAAAGTGCCCTTTACCAGCTGTCTTGGGGGGAATTTTCACCAAACTTGGGGGGAATTGTAGAGGAAAGTCATGTGATTAAATCAGAGAACTGTTAGCTACTAATATGAAAAGAAGAGTAACTGGTGCTCTGGTTAATGAAAAGATCTGTAATATGAGAACCAATATGCTCCAGAAGATGGAATATTAGGGTGTGATCAGAAAGGCATTTATCCTGTTTGTTCTGCTTCAAAGATGGGCTACTTCACTCCTTTTTTCTAGTGATGAAATGACCATAATTGCTAAAACAAACTAGACCATCCCCAGAGTATTCCTACCTACACTTTCCTGTGTCTCTGTCAGGGGATTCTTTTTGGGGGTGGGTGGGTGTCTTACGATTGTTCTGTTTTGGTCCATTCCCAGCATGTGTAATCACGTGAAATGAACCAAAGAGGAGCTTGCAGCTTTAAATTCCCCTTCTGCTTTCTGTTTCCCAGTATTATTAAATGGCTTAAGAAGACATTTTAGCCACTTCAGGATACTGGGAAATTAAACATTTCCTCTGCTCCTCCTTTAGTAACAGGTAAATGTTTTGGTTTTTCCAAGCAATGGATCTATTTTGAAAAATAATTATTAATGCTTTCTTTCTTCTAAACTTTTACATAATATATTTTTTAAAGAAAGGAAAGAAAAATTTAAATCTTACTTCCTGAAAGTGTGATTACTGAAGTAGCTCAAATAAAACCATTATCTCACAGTCTTGAATACAGTTTAGTTTTAAATCATTTCTTCTTATGGAGGAAATAATAGCAAAAGATATATGTGCCTTGATTTCCTGACATCTTTTAAATATTTTATGCATATCGCTCTCATATCTTATCCTTCCCCAAAGCTTAGATTGCATACATGAATAAGATTACCCTATATTGTTATGCTAACAACAAGTACTTTATGCAGCTCACACCCCAAAATATTTTTAGTTACTCTTTCAAGCTGGTCTTGTAATCTTTGTGGCATACTTTAAAATAAGACACATGACATGAACAGTGTTTTGGAGATGATTGTTTGTGATGACAGCAACTTCCCCATTCATAAAACAAAGAGGTGCATGACATTACGTTGTTTGTGGCATGGAGTTATGGCTGTAAGAGAAAATCAGTAAAAGCAAATAAACAAATATCCACTTTAAAATTAATGATAATGCCCCCCTTTTCTTATAGGGAAGCTGGGTCTGTTTTGATCTACAGTCCCACAGTAGAAAAAAGCTTCAGTTTTGCCTTCAACACCATTGCCTAGTGGGCGTTTTGAATAGCATTTCCTTTTTCATTGTTGTTTACCTATTTTCTTAGGTCTGTGGACTGCTCTGCTCCATAACCTTGACTCTTCTCCCATAACAATGATACCAAGGCCCCACCCTACTGCTAGGCTGCGCAGAGATGCCAGAAGCTTCTGGTGTCCCTCTTATAAGCCATGCTATAGTAGTGAATCATGAATGGAAAGTGTTAATAGTAGAGTTTTGCATTTATTATTTGCTTAACCTGTGGTTTCTTTCCTTCTTCAGTGGAAACTTGCCAATTGAGTAGAAATAAGCAGTTTTTAATATAATTTTCAATTTGTGTGTGCATGCATGTGTATGCACACTTGCACGCATACCCACGTAAGCTCATCCACAATGACTGGTGATTTCTGCAATCCTGTTTCATTTGCCAACAAGAAACTCTTTATTTCTCTAGGCACCCAGTGAGAAGAAATGTCTTGTTGGTGACCAGTATCTTCTCATTTCCTGCACAACAGTTGGCCCTCCCACCCACAATTCCTGCTGTGAAGCATATCACTTCAGCAGGCTGTTGATTTGCTCACTCACTGAAAGCTGCTGTCCCTATTTTTTGGTGTTATAGTTTCCAGAGTTTCCCATTTAGCATGTCCTGTGAGTTCTGTTGCATGGTCAGGAGTCTTGATCAGATTCACTTGTGTGTGATGTATTCATGGTGACAAGGTGTGACAGACAGACAGACAGACAGCTGAGCAGTGAGCAGGTACAGAATCCAGGCTCCAGAGTTGTTGTTGTTGGACTCAGGTGGCTGCCCCCATCACTTTTTAGCATCTGTCATCTGAGGCAGCCACCTCACTCTGCCTAATGGCTGGGCCAGCCCTGGAATGCAGGCAAGCCTCTGTTTCAGAAAAGGAAGATTGCAGCACTAGTTATTTCCATTCCAGCACAGGGATTATCCCAGGCTCTGATCTCTCTTCCCCCCCACCCCCGGGGTTCCCCCAGTTTTCTCAAGAAACTCCTCAGCCAGTCATCTCAGTCCAAGATTCTTTAGAAAATATTGCTATTCCTATAGCACAGTATTACAAAATCCTTACCCCATGGTGTAATTGCCTC